AACTATAGTAGTACAAATTTAAATAATTAAATCATATTTTGGTCTAATTTGGTCCGGTACGGGTTCTCATTTTATGAGAACCGTCATGGCATTGTTTGGAACCGGTACGATCTGATTCGAGACAAAAAAATTTGAGATTCGTTTCAAACCTCGTTTATCGATCCGGTACCATACCGGTCCGGTTCGTTACCATGTCGTTTCGATATTTTACCCACCCCTAACGAAAGCTCTTGCTTTTCGAGAAGCGATTCAATGGGCTCAAATCTGCCATGGCAGAAGGTGTAGTGAAGTCTGATGTGCAATCAATTGTGATTTGTGAATGAGATTTCACATTCTGATGGTATTTCATATATGATGATGATAGAATTTAACAGAATTTAGATACATGATGACGGATTTAATTAGGATAAGTGCCTAATATGTGCAAAGATCAGCGAATCGGGTTACTCATGTCGAAAGGGGAAGTGATTCAGGAGACGAATTTTATTTGGTTTGATTCACCACGTGGTTATATCTTGAACTTGTTTAAGAGTAATTATCATAAAATTATTTGATTTTCAAAAAAAGTCATAAACCCATACTACGTACGTATATCCATAAGCATTACTCGGTATTACACCGGCCTCCGGCATGATGTGCCACTTTCTCCATTTCAAAAATGCAAAGTAGCTTTCCTTCTTGACTAAGGCGGAGAAAGTCTAAGGCGAGCCTACTTTGGGAGTAGCGGTAGGGTAATGATAGGACCATTTCAAGTTAGTCGTAAACTTTTGGCAAAAATGTTTGTACCAAACTACCAACTCTTATACCCACCTTTGTACCCACCTATGTTTGTGAAGTGTTTTTTTCGTGAACCCCGGTTCACAGACAATATTTTGCACAAAGAAAATATTGTCTGTGAGTCGGGTTCACAGACAAAAAAATACTTCACAAACATGGTGGATATAACTGTATAAGGTGGGTATAATTGTATAAGAGCGAGTACATCAAGTATTGTTGAACTTTTGGATGTTGGTATGAAAATAATACGGAGTATAACTTACGTACTAATTTATTCTTAATTTTATACTCCGTATGATATGATTTGTGCTGAAGGGATTAGGATCTTTTGCCTTATGGCAGAGTACCTTACCAATATAGAGGGCATGGATTAAAAGAGAGACATCGAGATTTGTGCCCAAAAAGGACCCACTCATCTTATGCCATTATTTTTTGATCTGATGGTTCAAAATGGTCTGGCATCCTCCTTGTCTGTCTAAGTAAGGCGGAGGAGCTGGATCCGTGCTGAAGGCCTGAAAAATTGTATAGAAATTGCTCTAAATAGGTGAAATTTAAGCAAAATGCACAAAGAGGAGTACATGTATTTTATTTCTGAAACATGACTTAATTATTTGATCTTATTAATAGTATAAATTTTTCTCTTTTAAAAGTGAATAAGTCCAGGTCCCCAGCCCCCCTTCCCCAGACCCATTGAAGTAAAAAAAAAGAAAAAAAAGTGAATAAATCATATTTTAGGGTAAAATAATGATAATCATATACAGGGCCGGTCCTGACAAAGCAGAGACCCTGTGCAAGAGTAAAAATTGGGCCTTTTATTTAAACAACTCAAGTAAAAGTTTAATATATTGTGCAATATATGGAGTATTAATTATAAATTACTACTATCGTATTACTTTATGTCAAATTACAAAATTATTAACTCCAAAATAGGAGTCAAAATAAAATTATTTGTTAACAAATTATGCTACATTTCAAAGGAGAACTCTTTGAGCATATCATTTAATTTTAAACTGAATTATTTCTAATAATAATAATTTACTCAATATTGTGTAGTGTATTTTCCATATTTGGAATAATTTTATAAGAGCATCTCCAATGCTACAATGTGCACGGTGCACATGTGGCATGAGAGATATAGACACAAAAAATTGATTTTATGACATTTCTCTCTCATTCTTTCCACGGTCTTATGTGTTTTTGGAAGGTTTTTCTTTACAACGTCAACCACATTGTCTACATCTAGACATTGTGCTTAACATTGTCAAGAAAAAGTTACCAAAATGATATAAGATCCTTCAAATAAGAAGAGAGATATTTTATTTATTACTTTTTGATTGGTTATCTCTCATCCCACGTATGCACCGTTGATGTTTTAGCATTGAAGATGCTCAAATAGTGATTCGTATTTGGAGCAAACATCGATTTGATAGCAGTGAGCATTGATGACCTGGAAGCGTAAGTATTTTTGTCTTCTATTCAATTCCCACACCGGTGAAGGAAAATAATTCTCTAGCACTAATGTTTTATAAATAACGGTCTCCGGCTAAATTTTTATTTGTGAGATCTCTAGGCTCTTAATTGGGCCGTCTGTTTCAATGCCTAAGGGTCTGCGAAGGAGTTTATAGTTTTTATGCATTTCATAACACTAGTTATAACTATACTAATAAAACTAATTTTTGGGCCTTCGGATTTTTTGGGCCCTGTGCGGTCGCACTCCCTGCACATGCTCTGGACCGGCCCTGATCATATATGTGCACTTTGTTTATGTTTTAGTCTTACATTTTTTCAATATTGCATAGAAATTGCTCCAAATAGATAATGAGATTCACGGTTTACCATTTTCACGTCCCTATTAAATGCTTGGTTCATTTCCATTCAATGCAAAATAAAGTGGCATTTAAGATGATCGTTTGATACACTAAAAGAAGGATCGTTTGATCCAGAAAATAAGGAGAAGTTTAATTGGAAGACTCTTGAATCACACATGATTTGGGGTAATCATGACCGAACAACAAATCAATACGCATTAATGGCATTTTTTAAGAAATAAAGTGTAAATGTAAAGTGTTAGATGTAGTGTAAATATAAAATAGTGTAAATAAAGTGTAAATGTGAAGTGTAAATGTAGTGTTAGATGTTCATGATATTGCATTCACAGAGTTATAGTAATTTTAGTCATTTTTTGTCAATAAATTTTATTTGAACAATATTTAACCTCATTTTTCATTAATAATTATTCTAATTAGAATTAAAAATAATGTGATATGCCAAAATAAGAGCACCAACTGTTTTTCAAAGAAGAATACTCCTATGCTTGAGAAGTATTGTGATAGCTTAGTAATGTCTAGCAATGTGATAATACGATTTAATTTTGAGAGGTCACTAAATTCTTCATACTTATTGGTGAATATATGAGTCATGATCCACGACCCACATTCGATGACTCGAAACACACTCAACTCACACCTCGCGCGGCACCCTCGGTTAGGACCACGCTGCCCACACAATAGACGAAGGGCTCATCATGATAACAACCTCGAAGGCTGCTGCTCGAAGTTGACTAGTGAATCAAGATTACCCTCGTCTTTTTTTGTCCATGACTAGAAAAGACAACCACGTTATGATACTTCATCACAAGTAAATGAATTAGCTTGGCGTGTCTTTTGGCCGTGTTTCACCAACGGAGGAGGGACTTCCTACACCTCATCTCTTAGTGTCCCGGAACCAATCAGATAGTTATGTGGGGTTGATTATACATCGATGGAAAGAAACTGATTTTTCATCTCTAGTATTTACTTAAAATTTAATTCGAGACCTCTCTCACGTGTCAGTGTGCCACCTCTTCCTATCAGCTGAGTTTATGGGTGAATGAATTTGATAATAATTTCGGAGGAAATAAAATTAACCATTATCAATCAAATCATGTTCTAAATAAACATGAATGCAATATGGAGGCATGGAGCGACGCCTTACCAAACGCTACAATCAAGCAAGGAGGTGGCTACTGGCTACCCTAACTAGAATAGGGGGCACCCCTTTCTGGTCTGCTCATTTTACATCCCACCACCATTTGACCTTAATCCACCCCAAAAGGTCTTGTATATTGAGTGCCTCCGCGCTTCCACCGGAAAACACCAACTCGGCCCCGTCGCAGATCCCTACCAAAAATTCTACTACATCCATCAACTTTGGTGATTTAAGGGTGTTTGGAACTGATTCTGCTTCTGCTTCTTTTTTAAAAGCAGAAGCAGAATCAGAATCAGAATCAGTTTTCAGAAGCTGGTACCCCCAACTTATAAAAAAACTGATTCTTGAGAGTAAATTAGAGCTCCAGAAGTGCTTCTGGAATTCCACCCAAACACTCCAGCTTCTGCTTCTACTCCCTGAAGAAACAAAATCAGTTTTGAGAATCAGATCCAAACACCCCCTTAATTTATTACTACAACTTGAAACATACGTCGTTGACCGATATTCCAAGACAAATGTAACATGTCTTCGGGAAAGAAAAAGTCTTTACTACAATAAAAATTTAACGCATTTATAGGATTGTTATTTATTTATAGAAAACGATTCAAAGACAACTTTTAGTCCCTTTAGACCGAAGTCAATCTTATTTTCACAACAAAATGAAATTCAGAGTATGTATAGTAACATTCAAATCGGCTGATTAATTAACCTCTATTACATATACTTGTAGAGTCTTCAAATAATTTGTTTTTTCTCTGTCCTGCATTACCTAACCTCTATAACATACTTCCTCTGTTCCCTTTTAATTGCAACAATCAACATTTCACGTTTGTCAACACACAAGTTTGACCATTAATATCTTTCATTCCTTATTAGTAAGAAAAATTAAAAATTCATATTTTGAAAATTTAGAATGAGAAGAATTCAACAATATTTTTTAAAAAAGAGAAGAGAATTTATAATACACTAATTAATAAATATAGTCAAAGTAGAATATGTGAATAGTACAAAAACTCTAACGTTGCAATTAAAAGAGAAGAGAGGTAGTATACTTTTCAAATAACCTTAAAGTAATCCGGATTCATATTTTGATCCCAGATTATTGTAACAAATAATTTCATTAAATAACCAATATCACACTCAATGATATTTCTACAAAAAAAAAAAAAAACTGTCACGTCACTAATTTAATCTCTTAATAATTCTTTATTGCATTGCATGTGAAACGTATTTATACGGAGGAGTATTTGCTATACCTTTTCTCTATGCCGTATAATTTCTCTTCCACATTTCTCTTTACTTTCTTGTATAAAACGATAGAACAAAGGATCCACTTATCAATCTATATCGTACTCCGTATAACAAATCTAAAATTACCCAGAATTGAATCAAACAGTAATGGCCGCCGCCATGCCACAAACCGCCACACTCCACAAATGCACCATTTTCCCCGCCGAAAAATCTACACTGCCGGACTTGAAGCTTTCCTTCTCCGATCTCCCCATGCTCTCCACTCACTACATTCAAAAGGGCTGCCTTTTCACTCGCCCCCCATTTCCCATCTCCGATTTCATCTCCTCGCTCAAGTCAACGCTTGCCCAGACCTTGACTCACTTCCCTCCGCTCGCCGGCCGGCTCATCACCGATTCCGACGGGTACGTTTACATCACCTGCAACGACGCCGGAGTTGACTTTGTGCAGGCCGTCAACGCCGGCGTTTCGGTCAGCGACATTCTTCGCTCCCACGACGTCCCGGAAGTGGTCAGGGAATTCTTCACCTTTGACCGGACGGTTAGCTATCAGGGCCATTTCCAGCCGCTGGTCGCCATCCAGGTGACGGAGCTCGCCGACGGAGTCTTCATTGGGTGCTCCGTCAATCACGCCGTCACAGACGGCACCTCTCTGTGGCATTTCATCAACACGTTTGCGGAGGTTTCCAGAGGCGTCGAGAGGATCACGCGGCGACCGGATTTCAGCCGGGACTCTGTTTTCATATCGCCGGCGGTGCTGAAACTCCCCGCCGGCGGACCCGTAGTGACTTTCAACCTTGAAGCTCCGGTCAGAGAGCGGATATTCAGCTTCAGTCGGGAATCAATTTTGAAATTGAAAGCAGCCGTTAATAATTTTGACCCGAAAGTGACGTCGTTAAACCAGATAACGGAAAAGGAAACGGTTACCGATGAGATCTCGTCTTTCCAATCGCTGTCCGCGTTGCTGTGGCGTGCAGTGACACGCGCCAGGAAACTCCCACCATCTCAAACGACGACGTTTCGCATGGCTGTGAACTGCCGCCACCGCTTAGAGCCGAAGCTCGATCCGTTGTATTTCGGCAACGCCATACAGAGCATCCCGACGTACGCAACCGCCGGCGATGTGCTGTCTCATGATCTCCGGTGGTGCGCCGGGCAGTTGAGTAAGAACGTGAAGGCGCACGATAATGCTACGGTGAGGAGGTACGTAGAGGATTGGGAGAGGGAGCCGCGGTGTTTCCCGTTGGGGAATTTCGACGGGGCGATGATCACGATGGGCAGCTCGCCTAGATTCCCGATGTACGACAACGATTTCGGGTGGGGCAGACCCGTTGCGGTCCGAAGCGGGCGGGCCAATAAGTTTGACGGCAAGATTTCGGCTTTCCCGGGCCGAGACGGCGGTGGGACTGTCGATTTAGAAGCCGTGCTGGCACCGGAAACAATGGCAGGTGTTGAGTCCGACCAGGAATTCATGCAATACATTTCAGAGTACTGATGTGAAGTGGCATTTAACGGAGAGGATGATGATCTCGTAGTTGTCAACTTGTCATTTATAATCATTTTATAGTGTGATATTTCAAAAAATTATGCTGCTACTTAATTACTGTTAGGAGGGGTATTTACCTATTTGGTGGTGCCACGTCTAATCTACTGAGTTTTTTGTGTACCTCAAATTATATTTGATGGAATAAGCTGATTTATACGGAGTATATTACAGTAAAAAACTTTATTTATGTATCTTTATTACGAGTATTAGGTAGGAGTTAGGACTAGCAGCAGCATATCATTTTTAGTATGTGGAGATTTACTCATATCCCTCCAATTTTCCATATTTCATTCATCGACCTTTCTATTGAAAACATTTGATCATTACTGCTCTTCTCGGCTCTGTTTTTGGGTGGAGCTATGTTGCTTCTTTGTATGAGTTTTGATGTATCCTTCCCTAGATCTAGCAAGTGTGTGTGCGCAAGCGGTGTTGCAATGGTTTTTACAAGATGTTCTTAACGACAAGGCAAAACAGAAGCTCTTCATGGTGGAGGAGGTGAAGCTAGTGAAAAGGAATATGATGATAGAACCGGAACCTGGAAAAATGGGATTGAGGCGAGCTTTTGGTGACAGACTCACCCAGAAAGATGAAGTTGAATCATTCAGAGCCCGTTTGGAGACCTCTTTTTTCGGCTTATCAGGCTTATCAGCCAACTTTTTCACCAAACACGCAACTTTTACTTTCGCGCGCTGGATTGTGTAATAAGCAGAAAAAGTAAGGTTGAAGTTACTTTTCTGGCTGTATTGGCTGAAGTTACTGTAGAGGACCATTTTAGCTATTTTTACATATAATTTTTTCTTTATTTTTAAAATATTTTTTTCTTGAATCAGCAGAATGAGCCAAAACAGCCACTTCAGCCAGAACTTCATCAATTTCAGCAGAATCAGCCAAAACAGCCGATTTTGGTACTACCAAACGGGCTCTCAAGTTTTCAATTTTGTTTATTTCATTTTCAGTTTTACTTTCAGACTTCTAGCTTTAGTTATTTTTCCATTGGTTTTGGTTTTATTAGCCAGAACATTAGGATGTTTTTTTTGTTATAATTGTGGCGTGGAGCACTCGTCTGGTGGGTGTTTTACGTGTCAATCTCTTACTTTTAGTCACAATAGGCTTCAAGTGGTTCGTTGAGTGGTTATTGAATTGCTGTGCTTATAGCATATATAATTCTATAGATAATCTCATGGCAGATGATCGAAATGAAAGTGTTTGTACTATGATGGTTGTGTGAGTTTATGGTGAAATAATATAAGAATTCTTCTTTGAAAAAAATACTCCCTCCGTTTCGCAAAGATAGTACGGCTTGACTTCTTCAGGATTAAGAAAATAAATTGACTTTACTGTAGAAAACATTGTTTAGACACTATTTGACACTGTTTGACACTGTTTTGGAGTAGATTTCTTTGCCAAATAAGGAAATAAGGGAAGTGTGACTTTCTTTTTTGAAACATCCAAAAAAGGAAAGTGTGACTTTGTTTGCGAAACGGAGGGAGTATCTAATAAAATATAAAAATACAATTCTACTTTATTGAATACATTCCATGATAAATTCAGCCGTGTTTACAAATTTCAATCTAATTAAGTAAATTATGTTCTTAGAAAGTTAGACCAATAAAAAACGAATAATTACCCAAAATAGGACTTAAAAAGTTTGAAACTTCTAAAATAGGTCTGTCATACTTTTTATTCCCAAAATAGGATTAATTACTGTCATGTTTTGGTAGTACCAAACTTCAAACATGACAGTATTTTCCAAATTTGACAATAATTACTCCTATTTTGGGAATAAAACACATGACAGTCCCATTTTGAAATTTTCAAACTGTTTTAGTCTTATTTATGGAACTTTCCCATAAAAAATTAATAAGTACTTTACAATTGTAAACGCGTGGGGTTTAATGATCATACGTGTAAAGCATTTTGAGAGATATTTTTTCTTCACCTTAACAACTTTGTTGTCTTTCAACATATTCCTGATCGAGAGACATTTTTGTCTTCTCATACGAGGTTCGGTTGCAAATACAATTATTTTAAAAAATAAAGTGCAAAGTCCAATTTGGACAATAAAATGGAGTGCAAACTCAAGTTTCCTCCTATATTAATCATGCATCTTTGTAAAGAATTGCTTGAAGACAAACAATGAATGCTCGAGTGTGAAGTGAATTAATAGTCATTATTTTTCACTTGTTTATATCCCCTCACGTGAGTGTTGCTTGTCCTCAAACAATTCTTTACAAAGATGCATGATAAATATAAAGTATATAGTGTGAAGAAATTTGTTGTTGTTTTTTATCGTTAAACCAACAAATATATTAAATCAAAAAATTTTTTGTTATTTGGCTGACAATACAATCAGAGAAAAAGTAGGAAACAAAACGATAAAAAGCTTTTTGTATGTCGTCTACCCTTGAACCAGACTTAGAATTCATCAACTTTGTAGAAGCAAAATAACATTTGCTGATCATGTAATGGGCACAGAGCCAATGACTGGCAAACTAGGCTTCTCATCACCTGGCCTAAATTCTAGAAACTTTCTATACTAGGAAATAAGAACACACCCAAAACAACATGCAACTCGGAAGAAGTACACAAACAAAATAAAACGAAATTAAACCAGAATTCATTCATCTTCTTCCAAACCCTTGACTCTCTTGCATTCCATGGCGGTGGCTCGGGAGGGGGACGAGCCCGCCGTTCATCCGCCTCAATAGTCATACTTTTGTATTGATTGACGATATCCTCCATAGATCTCCATTGCTGCTGAATCAAACTCAAGCTCCGTCACAACTTACCGCCTTTTCTTTGTCTACCCTTGCCCCTCGACCAGAAACAACAACATAAGACAAGCAACGACCGCCAAAGCGAGCGCTGCATCCCTGGTCATGAGCCTGCTTGCACGACCGAAATCCACCGACACCCGCTCTTCGTCAATGACGAAAGCGGAAGAACAAAACCGTAGAAAGGGAGAGACCGCCTTTGCATGGAAAACATATTTTAAAGTTTTTGTTGTTGTTGTTGTTAACTCTTTATTCTGTTAAAGGTGACAACATAAAAAAAAAAGTTCATCTATACTAAATAAATAATTTTCCACGAAAAGTTTGTATATTTAGCATGCACCCTCATACTTAAAATAAATGTGTCTCTAAAAAGGGAAAAGGGACAAATTAGCCACTATGGTAAGAGTAAAAGTGTAAATAAGTCACTAACCTTTTATTAGGAGCAAATAGCATTGAATTAAATAAATAGTTGCATTCTAGCCACCCACTAACGGCACTAGATTCCCTACGTTAAAAATTCTGTTTACTTTAAAAAAAATTGCAAGTAGCTTTCATTATATTGTAATTTTGGAACCACTCTCCCCTTCCCACAATTCACCTCAGCTTTAATATTCAGTGCTTCTCTTAACCAAAGCTTTGTGAGCTGCAGTGCTGCACCACCCATTCATCATCGGCCCTGATCCAAATACTACAAAAATGAAGCATGTCTCTGTATAGTAAAACCAGATATAGATGTATAAAGATTATAAGAAAAAACTCGCATTCAGTTGTTACTTAAATTAGAATTCCTCGCAATAATCTAATCATCTATAAACACATTTCCAGTTCAACTAGCTACAATAAAGTGCGGGCTTAAAAATTGCGAAATTTAGTTCACTCTGAATAGGAAACAATATTAAATAATATACTCTAGAAATTATCCTCAACAAAACTAAAGTTTATCTTAAAACCATAAATAGGACCATAACTTTTTAATTCCCTTCAGGTAGGACGTATGAAGCACGGATACTTCACTAGAGTGTCGTATCGGCGTATCGGAAACGTTCCCGTATCCGATACTCTAGGATACACATACCGTACGTTCCTGGGCCGTATCTGCAATTTTTAAAAGTTTCCATTTTTTGGTAATTATTTTAAAATTTTGGATACGCGTATCCTGACGGATACCCGTATCAACTTTTTTTAAAAAAACTTCCAAAAAAAAAACTTTTTAAACAAATACTCAAAATTTACATAATAAAATTCTTAAAAAATAAAAAGTTTAAAAATAATTTTTAACTTGCTTTTATGTGGTACACAACCAATGGGCCTTTTCCTAATTCACCCATCCTCCTATCCCTAATTCTAATTATCCCTGGAAATTAATAGCACCAACGGAAATATGTATTAGAACTTTTGAAATATTGTTTTCTATCTTCATTATTATAGAACTTTGAGTACTTGCACTTTTAACTTCAAAATTGTACTTGTTTGACTTATTTCTCATTTTATTAATGACTTATTGATTATATTTATATTTCGAGGTGCACTAGTGTATATGAGATAAAATATGACTTATTCCTAAGTATCTTGAAAATGTAAAATGCTTCAATACCATGAATGAATAGACGTCAGAGGATAATATATGTCTATTTTTTTTTCAAAAAAAAATTTATTTTTAATATTTATAAATACACCCCTGTAACTTTTAATATTTATAAATACACTCCCATAACTTTTAATATTTATAAATATGGTCTCGTATCTGTATCCTACTTTTTTGGTTTTGTCATATCCCCGTACCCGTTTCCGCGTACCCGTATTAGTGCTACATAGGGTAGGACTAAACATTGATTTCTACACTAAATACACCTAATGATTTCCGCGTACCCGTATCGGTGCTACTTTTTTATTTATTTTTTTAAATATTTTTATTTTATAAATATTCTATCGGTGCTAAATACACCTAATGATTTCCTCATACCAGTTAGCACTTCAATTCATATAATAATGAATCGGAGCATGCAAGAGCACATGATTTTGCTAAATTTAATTCATGAGCTAAATACAATTACATGGATTAAGGATCCATTTCAGTCAACACGTGCCCCTTGTTTCTCCAAAGAAGGACTACATGATGGTCAACCAACCAAGCATTAGGGATTTTGAAATACTCCTTTTTTTTAGGATATATGGATACGGCATAAGAAAGATACTCTGTAATTTGTTTGATCCATTGTAATAAGGCTCCGTTTGTAAGCCGTTTGATTTTGATGCCTTACGTCAGTGGGTGGCTAGAATGCCAACTATGTGTTCAAATTAATGCTATTTGCTCCTAAAAAAGCTTAGTGACTTATTTGCCCTTGTATCCCTATCATAGTGGTCAATTTGCCCCTTTTCCCCTCTAAAAATATACTATCGTATAAAAGATGAAGAGTTGTAATTTAGGGATAAGAGGAGCATTATGATCTCTCTCTCACTCCCTTCCTCCCTCCCAAACTAAAAGACCAACATCAAACTATCTGAAACAGATTTACCCTCAATAATGTGTTAGAAAGTCACCATTTCCTTTTGATAAAGTTTATACATAGTTTTATACCATCCGATTTTAAGGTGGATGGAGATAAAACTTAGAAAGAGACGTGATATACGGTCTCCGGTTGTCCAGAACACATTGAGGAAGTGGAAATGTAACTTGAGGTCGAAATGTAAATCACATTAGTATAGGTTGAAATAATGTAACTTGAGACAAGTCAAATGTAAGCTATCTCAAGTCAAATGTAAGCTATCTAATACGTAGTATATGATATATAGCTTGAAAGTTAGATATCTTCATATACTAATATAAATTTTTATTTTATACTACGTATTAGTAAAGCTTCTGTTTTGTATTGGTGGAGGGAGAGAAAACTTAGATTTATTTCGAAGATGAACAAAAATGAAATTATGGTTTGATTATTGATATTTTGATAAAAGAGATCATTGAAGGACAAAAGAAGGAAAAGATAAAAATATCTGAATTTTGGAGATGATGAAAGACGAAATCATGGTCCGACTTTAATATTTTGGTGAAGGAGAAAATAATTGAAGAAAGGCATAAAGGAAAGTTTGATAAAGGAGAATATATTGCTCGAGAAAAAATTGATTTGTGGTTTGTTTCAATTAAAGAACGACAGTATATTGGAACCATTACACCATGTGCATGGTATAACGATCTCACGATATAGTTTGCAATTACCGGTGCAATGACAGTACAGTCACCACATCACCTATATATCCACATCATTCACCAGTCATTCCATGTAATGTAACTTATTTGTGCTTTAAAAAGTATTAAAATATTGAGCTTGGTGGGACTCGAACTTGTGACTGTGAGTTCCGTGTCCTCAATCATGTTGCTCACTTGTTACAAACTTTCCTTTACAAACTTCTACCTCAAATCATTGTCAGTTATTTGAAATCATTGGGTTTAAAATTCTTTTCATCAATGTTCATTAGCATCCCAAATTTTGATCAGTTTAATGATGGAGATGATTTTCATAGATGTTGGCTTCGACACACACTCATGGACTATTCAAGATTTCCCACGAGAGTTACAAAATGGAATTCCTGTTGTATGCCTCATGTTGAATCCCCCATTCTTCTTGTTTGGATTGGTTTTGAGGGATTGTGTATGCATCTCTTTGATAAGTGTGACCTTTTCTCTGTGGCTAATCTTATAAGCAAATCCTTTAAATCGGATGCTACTACAACTAATCTGATTAGACCATCAATGACAATGGTGTGTGTGAAACTTCATTTGACTAAAGAACACCCTAAAAAAACTGACTGTAAAATGGAGATACTGGTTTTTCAGAGTCAATTATTTATGAAGATATGTCAAGCTATTGTGGAGATTATCACAAACCCAGTCATGTCTCTTGTAACTTGTAAGAATGCTCTTAAGCGGGCTAGGGAAGCAAAACAAGGGGACATGTAATGGCTAAAAAACTTAAAAAAGCGAAACAACTTCTAAGGATTGTGGGCTGCTTCCATTCGATGCTTTTGAGCTATAATATAATTATGAATGTTTTGAAATATACGTAGTTTCATAATTAGCTCAATATGCTTGTAGATATATTGTGAGTAAGTGGCCATAACTACCACTCACGTACATCAATCTAGGAGTAATTGTAGGGAAATCACCTTGTTCTTTTAATTAGTAATCATATTTTTGTTAGAGAGATTTAAAGTAGTAATATTTGTGTAATTTTTTCATATATTATTGCCAGAATGAAAGAATCTATTCTTTGCACTGATTTAATCGACTATAAAGCGCACTTTGAAGTTGTTCTCTTCACCTGATCTGAATGTTTCTGGTCTGAATCTTTTAATTTCTAATCTGATCTGAATCTTTCTGATCTGAATTGAATCTTTCTGATCTGAATTGAATCTTTCTGATCTGATCTGAATCTTTCTTATTTGAATCTATTTGATCTGATCTGATTTAAATATTTTTTACAATTATAATTATGATTATAATTATTATAATTATAAATGACATTAGAAATACAATTTAAACATAATTATAATTATAATTATAAAAAATTTATAATTATAATTGCAATCATAGTTGTAATTAAAATAAAAATTATAATAATTATGCATATCATACTAATGATAATTATAGCTATAATTATAATTATAATTGTGATTATAATATTTAATTCTATAATCATAATAACAATAATAATAATAATAATAATAATAATAATAATAATAATCATAATAATAATAATAATAATAATAATAATAATAATAATAATAATAATAATAATAATAATAATAATAATAATAATAATAATAATAATAATAATCATAATAACAACAACAATAGTAATGATAACAATAAAAGTGATAAATCATGTTTGAACTTTTCTAATCTAATGTGAATATTATCTGATCTTATAGCTGGCCTAATCTAATCTGAATCTTTTTTATATGAGCTGATATGATCTAATTTGAATCTTTCTGATATGAATTTTCTGATCCGATCCTGATTTGAATAAAATATAAATAAGCAACAAGTAATAAGAATAAGACGAAGAGAACAACTTCTTTACATAAGCTTCAAATGTCATTTTCCTTCCATTAGAACCTGTCCACCTAAATGTTAAGCTATCAAGCTATTTTGGGCTTAATCAGCCGAGTTAGTATACGGATTAGCTGTACACTGATCTACATGCGCCGTGCAAAGGTTACTGACCCAAGTCCTTTAGTTTCTCAATTTAATTACTCCATATTAATTCTTATTTTTTTATTTATTTTTATTTTTTTAATCCTAGGGGGTTGGTGGAGCCTGGAGTAATCGGGGCTGAAACTCACTCCATTGAGTTTCAAACCCTTATGTGCCTAGCAGGTTTCAAACTTGAAACCTCTCACTAGGCACGATAACCTAATCAGCTTGACTGAAATGCTTGGTTATACACAAAAAGTTGTATTATATGTTTTTTGCATAAATAGTATACACATGCAATTGAAATAATTATTGATTTTTTAAAACCACTCGTCTATATACACGGTCAATAAGAGTCAATAAGAGTGTGTAAAAAATATACAAATCTAATTTTCCCAACTTAAATGCGAAGTGGTGAAAATTATTCAAATAGACTAAAAAAAGCCAAAAATCTGACTAAAACTGACCCCATATATAAAGACTAGCTATAAATTTGGCCAACAAACTTGTCCACATACATGAGGGTAGAGATGTTAACGAACCGAGCTTTTATCGAACTATTCGAGTTCGAGCTCGGTTTCGAACCTAACGAGCCGAGCTTAACGAGCTTTCGAACTCGAACCCGAGCAGAGTTTTAAGTTCGAAAAATTAATCGAGCCGAAATTGAACATAGTAGTATTCGGCTCGGTTCAAACTCGAGCCTATCGAACACCCTTTAATTATACAAATAATTTATATATATTCAAAATTTAAATATAATTAGTATAATTTTATGAATTTAAATATGATTATTAACGAACCGAATACTTGTCGAATCATTCGAGCACGAGCCTATTAACGAGCATCACCTAAAATTTCAAAATCGAGCACATATATCGAGCTTATCGAGCGCTCGATTCAAACATCGAACGTCTATCGAACCGAACACGAGCTTCATTTGTAAAGCTCGCCGAGCTTCGAGCTCGAACCCGAACACCCCTAATTCCTTATCGAGCCAAACTCGAGCTTTGGGTGTTCGGGCTCGGTTCGACTCCTTAACAGCCCTACATGAGGGCAATGTTGATTTCTTAGTTATGGAAATACAAACAAGTGGGAGATCAGTTCTAATTTGTGCTCAAAACAAAAACGCAAAAAAAAAAAAATGGAACCAACGTTTACATTTATTTCCTCCTCGGCATGACTACAAAGTACAAACAGTAGCTTGTAACACTCAAACCATTTCACCGGCCTGAAATGTATTGCATTATTTCTGAGTCGGACTCAACACTCGCCATTGTTTCCGGCGCAAGCACTGCTTCCAAATCAATACCGCCGCCGCCGCCCTGCCCTGGAAAAGCCGAAATCTTGCCGTCAAACTTATTGGCCCGCCCGCTCCGGACCGCAACGGGTCTGCCCCACCCGAAATCGCTGTCGTACATCGGGAATCTAGGCGAGCTAACAATCGTGATCGTTGCCCCGTCGGGATTCCCCATAGGGTAAAGCTGCGGGTCCCTCTCCCAATCGGCTACGCGCTTCCTCACCGCAGCATTACCGTAGGCCTTCACATTCCGATTCAACTGCTCGGCGCACCACCGGGGATCGTGCGACAATACGTCGCCGGCGGTCGCGGGCGTCGGGATGACCTGTATGGCGTTTCCGAAATACAAAGGGTCCAGGTTCGGCTCTAAACGGTGACGGCAATTCACAGCCATGCGAAACGTCGTCGTTTTGGAAGCTGGAAGTTTCCTCCCGCGAGTCACGGCACGCCATAGCAGTGCACAGATCGCCTGAAACGATGAAATCTCCGCCGTCACCGTTCCGTCCGCTTCAATTTCCCGTTTCGTATCATTAAGAGATGCTTTTAATTTCAAAATTGATTCTCGACTGAAGGTGAATATCCGCTCCCTCACCGGAGCGTCAAGGTTTGAGGGCGCCTGAGGTCCACCGGCGGGGAGATTCAGTACCGCCGGCGAGATGAATACAGAGTCCCGGCTGAAATCCGGCCTCCGCGTGATCCTCTCGACGCCTCCAGTGACCTCCGCAAACGTGTTTATGAAATGCCACAAGGAGGTGCCGTCCGTGGCGGCGTGATTGACTGCGAATCCGATGAAGACCCCGTCGGCGAGCTCTGTCACCTGGACGGCGAGAAGAGGGTGAAAATGGCCCTGATAGCAAAGCGTCCGGTCAAACGCGAAGAACTCCCTCACCACTTCCGGGACGTAGGGGGAGCGAGCAATATCGCTAACGCAAAAGTCAGTGTTGGCGGCGTGGATGAAGAGGGCTCCGGCGTCGTTGCAGGTGATGTAAACGTACCCGTCGGAATCTGTGATGAACCGGCCGGCGAGCGGAGGGAAGTGAGTCAAGGTATGGGAAAGGGTTGATTTGAGCGAGGAGATGAAATCAGGGAGGGGGAATGGGGGGCGAGTGAAAAGGCAGCCCTTTTGAATGTAATGAGTGGAAAGCATGGGGAGATCGGAGACGGAAAGCTTCAAGGGCGGGAGAGAGGAACTTTTGGCCGGGAATACTGTGCATTTGGAGACGGTGGTTGTAGTCGACATGGCGGCGGCCAATATTGTTGGGTCAATTCTGAGATTATAAAATGCGAAGCCCGAAGGGAAGGGTAGGAGTATGGAAGGCACTATCGCACTTCGAGTATTTAAAAAGACTTTTAGTAATAAAATACTCCGTAGTTATTTGAAAATGATTAAAATAGTCAACTCAATTAAATATTTCGTCCAGAAAATTCATCTAAATACTATCTCCTTTCTGGTAAAAAGTTTGACACGATCATTTAGATAATAATTACTCCGTAATATAAGAAATTCGAGTATTTTTTTGTTAAGTAATTCGAAGATTGATAATTGTAATGTTATAAATGTTTTATTTTTAGTAAAAGTAGTATATTCTCGATATACAATGAAGTCACTGATAATAACTGTGATGTTATAAATATACTCCATATTATTTTTAATATTTGAAAATTAAATTATCATTTCAATGTGTTAATTGTTTTCTAAAATTGAAATGAGAAATTTTATATGGAATGTCTAAAAAAGTGAAAATTTAAAAATGGGATGGAAGGAGTAATTAACTTTAACTTTATTTATTTTTCTCAAGAATTGATTTTTTTTCATAAAATCAAAAGTTGTGTGTTTGATATTCCTTTGTATCAAAATGATTGCCCTAGTTTCCTTTTTGAGTCACATCGGATTATTGTCTAATTCCCTTTTAAAAATGAAACCTACAATAAATCAGCTAGATTACTCTTTAATAAAGTACTATCTCTGTCCCTTTTATATTGGGACGGAAGAGGGTGGCACGAGTTTTAAGAAAAGTGAGTTTGTGTGGTTGATATTAATTGATAAAGTAAGAATAAAGTAAGAATAATTTTGAGTCACACAAACTTTACCAAATAAGGTATGAGACAATTAAATAGGGACATCCCAGTATGGTAAAACGAGACATTTAAAAGGGGACGGAGGGGGTATATAATATTGCCACAATACATAAATGTCTTACTTTTTTGTAAAATAAGTGGTACTTGGTAGATAGTAATTCTTGAATGCGTCATTCGTTCTCTTTTATTTGAAACATTTTTATTTTCATGTTGTTTAATGCATAACTTTGACTGTCACTGTATTTAATTCTCTATATGAAAAAATGAAATATCAATTTTTTTTAAATTTATAATGACTTGAATTCAACAATATTTTTTAAAAAATATAGTTTTCGTATAAAATGTAGTCAAAGTAGAGTGTCTCAATAGTGTAAAATTGTCTATTTTGAAAACTTATAACCGAAAACAAACAAATGAATGAAGTAGTTTATTGATATAGTAGTATGAAGTAAAAAAGTTGATAGATAAGGCCTTTGTGGTTGTCCTGCGCTCAAGTATATTCCAAATAATATGCCTTCACTTTTCTATCACTATAGTACATACATCATATATGAGGTGTAGCTTTGACTATTATACATACATCATATATGAGGTCAGGCTTCTCAAACCTTGGGTGTTCAGTTTTTTGTATAATTAAAATTTGAAAGAATAATATATAATTAAATTAAATTTATACATGTCTACTAATATAATTTACAAAACTTTAGGTGTTCAATTGAACACTCTTGAATTATAGTGGCTTCGCCAGTGTTCTCATGGCCACACTGAGGGAGTATTTGAAATAGTTTAAAAAAATATTTCTCGATTTTTGGCTTATAAAAGTTAAAATTAATGTTTTCAAGTGACAATTTTTACTTAAAAAACGTTTCTCCGCTTTTGTGTGAAAAATGCTTTTTACCTTTTCTATTGCACAAAAAACACGAATTTTACCAACTTTTACTTTTTAAAATCACTTTTTTTTTAAACACTATCAACTTTTACTACATAACGTATACTTAAAGACAAAAAGCAATGACATGAAAGAAGTACAAAAATAAAATTCCGATGTTGACCATCATTATTTGGATCATTCTCGTTTCCATTTGCATCTTCACTCAATGTCTCATAGTTGTCCTCAACTCCTCATCTACAAAGTTAGAACCATATCTTTTAAAAAGAAATACTCAACTTATAGTTCAAAACTCAAATGATCTAAAACATCAACATCAGTATAAAAGTGGTATGCCAATATTATATTTAGTATTATTATTAGCAAGTTAGCTAAGAAGAGAATGTTCTTACTATGTAAGATTGTATAACTTCTAAAGTAATACTAACTCCGTCCCAGAAACATGTTCCCGAGTTGACTTTCACACATTTTAAGGAAATGAAGTTACTGAGGAGTAAATTTTACTGTTTTGACATTGTTTGGCACTGTTTCGACATTGTTTGGCAATGTTTTGCACAGTTTGACATTGTTCTGGCCCATGATTCAGATTGAAACTTGAAAGCTAGTTGGTGTTGGAAGCTAGTCGGTGTTTTGGAAGCTCGTTGGTGTTTTGGAAGCTAGTTGGTGTCGTTGTTTGAAGGAACCCGCCGTTGTACACGAGAGCTAGTTGGTGTTTGGCAGATTGCTCGTGCTCGTGTCGGATGCCGCAGAAGCTAGTTGGTGTCGTAGTTGAAGGAACCAGCCGCTGTACACGAGAGCTAGTTGGTGTTGACGCCAAGAATTTGGAGAAAACGTTGAGCCTGACTTTTGTTGCAGCCGGAAGCAAATACCTCCCGGCTCCAGAAGCTGATGCATCGCCGCCACCAAAAGTCCAGAAGCTTGTACATCATTGCCACCAGGAGCTGACACATTGCCGCCGCTGATTTCATCCGGGTCTATTTTGCTCGTCGGTCCGAAGGTGAAGCTGATTTGATGACGGCTGCCTTTTTATGCGACGAAGATGATAAACCTAGTTATGTGGTTTCCACCAGAGAAAATGATGGGGCTGTTCCTGTTCGCGGTTGGAGGGTCGGTGGTCAGAGATGAAGCTGGTTTCCGCCCTGTTCGCCAGACTGGTTTCTATTGCTGATTTCTGGCGAGAGAATTCTGCAGCGGGATTCTTCTGAAACTGTAGCCATCTACCTTTGTTCTAAGTTCTAACCGCCGGTGCAGAGAAGAAGATGATGCTTGAGGCTGAGGTTTCGAACGCTGCTGCTCGCTTGCCGGAGAAGATGATGCTGATGCGATGCAGTTGCTGCAGAGTTTTCTTCGCGCTTATGTTCGCCGATAAGCTCGATGGCTAGGCTGCCGGACTCCCTTGCGTGAGGATGACCAGGGATGGGATCTGGCTATAAAGATTGGGCCTTTGGGCCTATCCAGAATTTTAGTTTTCACCTTTTTTATTAATAAAGGCTCGAGCTATTATCAAAGGGATAGTTCTAAAAGAGGCCCAATTTTATTATACCTTTTTTTAAACAATACCCCATTATCCTCTTGTTTTTTTGCAGGGACCATCCTGGACGCTTAAAGCCTTTAATAAATTAATTTTCCACGCAGATGATAATGCTGATTGATTAAAAATGAAGGACCTTTGCTGATTATTTGTGTCGTTGGCACCACTTCCTCGTGTTAAGATTTATTATGCTCTGTTCGAAGCCTTATGAAAAATAGCCATGCTGATGCTGTTTATAAATGGCGGCCATTTCGTCAGTTTAAAGGGTGGTCATTTCTTCGTTTATGAAGATCGACTATTTTGTCAGTGTGAAGACCGGCCACTTTGTCGGTTTGAAGACCGACCATTTCGTCGGTTTGAAGACCGGCTATTTTGTCGGTTTGAAGACCGGCTATTTTCTCGGTGTGAAGGCCGGCCAATTCATCTGTTTGAAGACCGGCTATTTTGTCGGTGCGAAGACCGACCATTTCGTCGGTTTGAAGACCGGCCACTTCGTCGATTTGAAGACCGGCTATTTTGTCGGTGCGAAGACCGGCCACTTCGTCAGTTTGAAGACCCACTATTTTGTCGGTGCGAAGACCGGCCACTTCGTCGGTTTGAAGAACAGCTATTTTGTCAGTGCGAAGACCGGCCACTTCGTCGGTTTGAAGACCCACTATTTTGTCGGTGCGAAGACCAGCCACTTCGTCGGTTTGAAGAACAGCTATTTTGTCGGTGCTTGAAGCGGTCTTATCGAAGCTTGAAGCGGTCTTGCAGGAGCTTGAAGCGGTCTTGCCGGGGCTTGAAGCTGTCTGGCAGGAGCATGAAGATGTCTTGCCAGTTTTGCCAGTTTCAAATGATGGTGTTTCCTTTTGTCCTTGTGAAGAAGATGACACTGCCGATTCAAAGCTTTAGAGGGGAGTAGCCGAGTAGAATTTTTTCAGAGCTGCAGCGGTGTGCTTTTGATGCCGATTTTAGGCGATTCTAGGCATTGCTTGTGGTAAGAACCAGCGATCATTGCACTTGTCGATCCCGGCAGACATCTAGGAGGCGGATCGTCGCTCGCACTTCAAAGGGAGAAGTTAAAATTTTAAGTATTTACTTAAAATATTTAGGACACCGAGGCTGAGGAGTCGCAGTTGCTCGTCCTGCGCTATTGACACGACGGTGGCGTTGTGGAGACATCATTTGAAGCTTTGCTCAATCATCTTCCGGTGAGGAGACCAAAGTATTCCTCAAGCCTTCACCATTCATCTTTTTTTTTTGTAAGCCTTCTTCTGATATTTTCTTTGACGAAATGACTTAATTGGGATTTATTTTGTTATAACTGAACTCAAAATTGAAACTTTTGAGCTGCCTACGTACTCCTATGACGGAGATCAAGTCAAACGTAGTTCACAGGTACCATTTGAATTGGTAATCTAAAAAAAAAAAGGTGGGGTGCCGTACACAGTTTTAACTCATGCGGGCCAGGAGCTTGCCGTACACATTTTTTAACTCTCGTGGGCCAAGAGTATCTATGATTATGCTCACCCATAGACAAAGTGAGATGTTTTAGCAGTTTAACCACTTACAACATCATTGGTGGTTTAAGCCATTCAACATTTCCTATGGCCATATCCATACCCCGAAAATCAAGGGTAGTAAAACTTTAGGAATCTCCCATTGATCGGGCAAATTTTCGATCCAGCTGCGTCGACCAACTTGTAGGCGCCGCCTGAATATACTTCTTGAACAACATAAGGACAATCCCATTTAGGTGAGAACTTGTGTCCAGTTTTCCTTGTAATAATGATAGGTCTTCGCACAGCTAAAACTTTATCACCAACTTGGAAAGAGCG